ACCAATGCCAAAAAAAGCCTTTCTCATCCCTTTTATAGAAAAGGGACTGTTATGTCTATCACTTCAGAATATTGGCTCTTATGACTCGTCTGACCAAGGGCAAAGGCAGTAAAGGTTGTTTCTTATTCTGACCATGAGCCCACAAAGTCTTCAGCCAAAAGTTTTCAATGCACAAGCTTTGCAAATCCTATTAAAATTAGCTCATTTTTTTTGTTAAATGCTTGGAATTTGCCAATAGGCCATGGGAGCAGCAAACCCAAACTTCATCTCTACTGTCTATAAGGGGGTATTTTTTAAATCATCCATCAATGTAAATAGGAATTCGTCCATTGATCATCAACATAAAGGAACACTTTTTCCACTAACCACAACATAAGAGGACCCCTTTTCCACTAACCACCAACATAAGAGGACCCTTCTCCACTGACCACCATCATAAGAGGACCCTTCTCCACTGACCACCAAAGAAAGAGGGCCCTTCTCCACTGACCACAAACGTAAGAGAGCCCTTCTCCACTGACCACCAATGTAAGGGGACCCTTCTCCACTGACCACCATCATAAGAGGACCCTTCTCCACTGACCACCAAAGTAAGAGGGCCCTTCTCCACTGACCACAAACGTAAGAGAGCCCTTCTCCACTGACCACCATCATAAGAGGACCGTCCTCCACTGACCATCAATGTAAGGGAACCCTTCTCCAATGACCACCAACATAAGAGGACCCTTCTCCACTGACCACCATCATAAGAGGACCCTTCTCCACTGACCACCAAAGTAAGAGGGCCCTTCTCCACTGACCACAAACGTAAGAGAGCCCTTCTCCACTGACCACCAATGTAAGGGGACCCTTCTCCACTGACCACCATCATAAGAGGACCCTTCTCCACTGACCATAAATTTAGGGTACATTTCTTCCACTGTCTATCGACATGAGGAGGACTTACACGGGCCACCAATGTAAGAGGATTATCTCTACTGAGTAGCTATGTAAGGGGAACCCTTCCCCACTGACAACCAGCATAAGGGGACCCTTCTCTACTGACTGCCAACATAAGGGGACCCTTCTCTACTGACTACCAACGTAAGGGAACCCTTCTCCACTGATCATCAATGTAAAAATGAACATTTCTCCATTGACCACCAATGTAAGCCGAACACTACAATTTGCACTTTGTTTTTTTTTGACCATTACTAATCATTTAATTGACTTATTACTGAAAATGATTTTGTCACATAGAGCAGGGCAGGTTTGGTTGTCCAACATGTACATCACACTCTTTTTTAATATCTTTTAATGATATCTAATACTTACTGACCACCCCGTGTGGATGATGTTAATAATTTTTAGCAGGGGTTCTAGGAGACCTGAAAATTATTTCAGGAGCTCTTCCTTGGTAAATAAGAAAAAAAAAATGTTGGGAAAGAGTTTGCCATGTCTTGGCTGCTTCTCTGAATAATGCTCTCCTGGCCTGGCCTGTCAGTTTAGGTGGACGGTCACATCTTGGTAGGTTTGCAGTTGTGCCATACTCTTTCTATTTTCAGATGATGGATTGAACAGTGCTTCATGAGATGTTCAAAGCTTGGAATATTTTATCATCTAACCCTGCTTTAAACTTCTCCACAACTTTATCCCTGACCTGTCTGGTGTGTTCCCTGTCTTTTGTGATGCTGTTTGTTCACACATGTTCTCTAGCAAACCTCTGAGGGCTTCACAGAACAGCTGTATTTATACTGAGATTATATTACACACAGGTGGACTCTATTTACTATTAAGGTGACTTCTGAAGGCAATTGGTTCCACTAGATTTTAGTTAGGGTTATCAGAGTAAAGGGGGCTGAATACAAAATACACGCCATACTTTTCAGATACTTATTTGTAAAAAATTTTGAAAGACATTTATCATTTTCCTTCCACTTCACAATTATGTGCCACTTTGTGTTGGTCTATCACATAAAATCCCAATTAAATACATTTATGTTTTTGGTTGTAACATGACAAAATGTGGAACATTTCAAGGGGTATGAATACTTTTTCAAGGTGCTGTAATATAATGAAAACATTGTGGATTTTATGAAGCAATGTGCACTTGCTGTTTCCCTGAACTGGTTGCAGTTAGTACATTGTGCAATAATGGTCTGTGTTGTCATCAGAACAAGGATGTGGCAAGTCTTTCAGCAGCATTGTTTTGCTGGGAAAAAAAAGTATCTATGTGGAGAGACAAAGAGGGCAGAGTGCTGTAGCCCTAGAGCAGGCTGTCATCCAGATGAGTGAGTTTTTTTTTTTTTTTTTTTATTCTTGTACCTGCAGGTAATCATTATAAAGTGCATGGGCAGCACAGTGGCTAAATGGTTAGCACGTCCTCCCGGCAGTATTAGGGTTGTTGGTTCAAATCCCAACCACGGCACCTCCTGCCTGGAGTTTGCATGTTCTCCCTGTGCCTGCGTGGGTTTAATCCGGGTACTCCCACACTCCAAAGACATGCTGGTAGGTTAATTGGCTCCTGTCTAAATTGTCCCTAGTATGTGTATGTATGAATGTGAGTTAGGGCCCTTAGATTGTACACCCCTTGAGGGTTAGGGACCTTAGATTGTACACCCCTTGATGGTTAGAGACCTTAGATTGTGCACCCCTTGAGGGTTAGGGACTGATGTGAATGTACTATATGTAAATTGACGGCATTATACAAGTACCTGAAATAAAGGCTTACTTGTAGGTGCGATGAATATCTTCTGTAGGTCCACGGATTAGGAGATATTCACATTTGCTCCTGCCAATTATGCAGGGTGCACAGAACTTGCTGTCAATGCAGGGAGCGCTGTGCTGCGATCGTGACTCAGGAGTGCTGTCATTGCGGCCCGGCTATTTAAAGGACTGGAGAACATAAACCCAGAAGGAAGACCGAGCAGAGAACTGGAGAGTGCTGTTTACAAGGAAAGTCTCTCATACCAGCACTTTATCTACCTGCAGCAGGACTGGCTAATTGTTTTTTTTATGAGATTACTACCTCTTTAGATTTAACATACAAAATACTGGGTGACACAGGAAGGGCCTTTGACATTGAAGAACATCTCTGGCCAGAAAAAAAAATTAAATGAAAATTAAAGTACCTCCCTGCAGTACATGCACATTTTCCCATGTCCAAAAAAAAAAAAAAAAGGAAAAAAAAATCATGTTGATCTGACAGAAATCCAGCCAACTCCTAATTTCCGGCAGCAAGTGGACTTGCTCCAGGTCAGTTTCTCAAAGTATTGTCTGAAGGATCTGCATGAGAACCTGCCACGTGGAAGGTCAGCAGTCTCTCTTCTTTTATTAAAATTTACAGAATCCATGAAAGTGAAAAAAAAGTGACTTTATGCAATGGTTGGAGATGCTCTCTGCAGCTTCTCCTGCTGAACCATCATTGTATTTTTTGAGATTTGGGGTTTTCAAACAGAAAAGCCCAAAATTACAGAAACTTGCCTGGAACATTTGAGCCAGAAAATCTCCACTCCCCCTAGCTTCCACTTGACTTGATGCTTTTCTTTGTTTCCATTACTTGTCTGTCAATCAACCATCTCCTTGCTAGCTGCGTTATTGGAGCGCTGTGGATAGAGGCGGTCTGACAACTCATGGGGCCCCCGGGCAATAGGGGATCATGGGGTCCCTGCCCAAACTCAAAAAAAGCCTATGAAAAAGGTACCAGGGACATCTCATGGGGCCCCCTACTGACCCCGGGCCCTCAGACAGTGCCCGAGGGGTGCCCTGTCCAATCTCAAAGCTGGCCTTAGAAAGCATAGAGGAAAATGGAACAGTATACTATGGGTATTTGGTCTTCTGGGGAACAGAACACATAAAAAAAAAAAATTGAGAAACTTTTTCAAGGGCAATGGATGCACAGGTTTGCTCAGAGAACAGTGAGAAAAACTCCACAGCTCCTAAAGGAGTCACTCCCTTGGTGCACCACGATGTCACTCCCTTGAGGTGCTGCAATTGTGAGTCAGAAGGGAGCAATGCCATAGGAGTGAGTTGTCCGCCCATGGTTTGCTGCCGGTTACAAGATTGTTAGTGTAACACAGTCCTAAGCGTTTTTAAACAAACATTCACAACTTTTGTTTAAAGTGTTACTAAACCCACAACAGTAAAATCAGTCTGTGTATGCAGTAAAGCATGCTTGTTATACTCAGTGGAACCTAAGGGGTTAATCCTCTGCATTGCGTAAAAAAAAGGCTGTTTGATCCTGACTTCTCTGATCCTCCCCTTCTACAAAATGTCCCCAATCCATCTGCTGATAGAACAGAGCCTTGGAGGCAAGCTTCACATGCTCAGTTTGGTGTGTATTACTAGAGGTTTTCTTATTTTTCTTTGGTGGAGTGCATGTGATCAGCACAGGACCAATCAGCGCTGTCCAGAAAGAGGGTCAGGGGTCATGCAGCCTCATTGGACAATCAGAGAATTTTATTTATTACAGGTACTTCTATAGGGTCATCAATTTACGCAGTACTTTACATATATATTGTACATTCACATCAGTCCCTAACCCTCATGGGGCGTACAATCTGAGGTCCCTAACTTACATACACATACTAGGAACAATTTAGACAGGAGCCAATTAACCTACCAGCATGTCTTTGGAGAGGAAACCAGAGTACCCAGAGGAAAACCACTCAGGCACAGGGAGAACATGCAAACTCCGGGCAGGTGGTGCCATGGTTGGGATTTGAACCAATGCCCCTAGTGGAAGTGCTAACCATTTAGCCACTGTGCTGTGAAAACTCCTTCTACAAGCTTTAAGCAGGGCTTAGCCAAACACTGAGAGAAGCCACAAGACTGCTGTATACTGCTGATGAGAAAAAAGGTATGTAGCAGTTTATATTTACTAAAATAATTGCATTTCCATGTACTGTGGGAGATCAAATATAGTGAATGCTAGGTCCAGGGAGACCAGATATAGTGAATGCAGGGTCCGGGGAGACCAGGTATAGTGAATGCGGGGTCCGGGGAGACCGGATATAGTGAATGCGGGGTCCGGATATAGTGAGTGCGGGGTCCGGGGAGACCAGACATAGTGAATGCGGGGTCCGGGGAGACCAGGTATAGTGAATGCGGGGTCCGGGGAGACCCGATATAGTGAATGCGGGGTTCGGGGAGACCAGATATAGTGAATGCGGGGTTCGGGGAGACCAGATATAGTGAATGCGGGGTCCGGGGAGACCGGGTATAGTGAATGCGGGGTCCGGGGAGACCGGGTATAGTGAATGCGGGGTCCGGGGAGACCGGGTATAGTGAATGCGGGGAGACCGGTATAGTGATGCAGGGTCCGGGGAGACCAGATATAGTGAATGCAGGGTCCGGGGAGACCAGATATAGTGAATGCGGGGTCCGGGGAGACCAGATATAGTGAATGCAGGGTCCGGGGAGACCGGGTATAGTGAATGCAGGGTCCTGGGTTTAGTAACACTTGCAATTTCAATCTTGAGTTGAAGAACAGCACACAGGAGTAAAATCAAACAATTTAATAGTGAAGAGTAAATATGTGATTCATTGAGCTGTATGGACCTTTATCCAATCTGATTAACCCCTGGCACCTTCACATGGAGGCTGAACAAAAACACAAACTGTTACAGCAGAAGAAAGCCAAAAGGATATGTCACCCATAGTGAAAAATCTACTTCCCTTTTCCAGGGCAGGGTAGAAATGAAAGATGGGACTGTATTGGCTGCAATGGACAACACATTTTTTTCTTTCTTCAGATTTTATGCATGAGATACAGTAGATGAATGTTAAAAGGTAGCCATGGACAAGGGAAAATTCATCACCCAATGATTTGGACAATCTTATGTTTAGGGACAAAAGCAGACACACTTGTCCACAGAATAGGTGAAGGAACTAGAAATCCTAGGTGTCCTCCAGTCCCAAGATAAATAGCATCACAGCTGTCTACTCATTCTCTTAATGTGCACACTCGGCAAAGAAAAAGCTGAATGCGCATGTTTACATGGAAAATGGAAGCAAAGACATCACAGGTAGTCAGAGGGTGCCTGCATGTCCATGGCTTTCTTATGTTTCCCTGCACCTCATTTATCAAAGTCCTTTCACAAACCATTGCAATTCTCACAGTGCAGTATGAAAGACTGAAATTAAAATGGTAAGTAGTTCCTGTGTACATGTAGATGTCTTGAAATGAGATCTTCCCAGCTAAGCCAGGTGCTCCTCATATCCAAAACTGGAGTACCATATTAAGTTTCTCCCCAAGCTAGCCAATATGTGGGTGGGAGGACACATGGCGTTGAGTAATGGGTGTTAATCCCTACTCAACTAAAATGACTAGCCATAGATGGTCCAGGAAAATTCTTCCCAAGCAAACATGCTAATTGTTTATGCAGTTGTCATAAATCTACATACTAGAGCTCATTAATTATAACAAAAGAAATAAAATCAAAACAATGCTACAGCTGAAGGGAGCAGCAAGCATCCCACCATGCTGCAGTGGGAGGCCGTGGCAAACTTCCAGCATGCTGCGGTGGGGAAGCAGCGATGCAGCAAGCCTCAAACATGCTGCAGTGGAGGGCGCAGCCAACCACCCACCATACTAGAGTGGGGGGCGCAGCCAACCACCCACCATACTACAGCGGTGGATGCTGACAGACTCCAGCCATATTACAGCAGAGGAAGCAACAAACCTCCCACCATACTACAGTGGAGCTTGCTGACGAACTCCAGCCATATTACAGTGGAATGCACAGCAGGCCTCCGGCCATACTTCATTGCAGGGTGCAGCTAGATTCTGGCTACACTATAGAGGAGGTAGCTGTAAGGCTCTAGTGTAAAAAAAAAAATAAAACCAATAAAAAAGGAAGAAGAAGGAGGTATTTGAGGATATTCAAGTAAAGTTTAAAAGATGACAGTGTAAAAATATTGTGGTTCTTATTTGGGGGGGGAAAAAAAAAAAAAAAGAATCTTTGATTTGGAAAAGATATTACATAAGCTTTAGTCCAGAGATTTCAATTTTGATTACATTATTAATTGGGTGTTTTTTTTTCCCCACAAAAGTACCCCTATGAAAAAGTTTGGCACTGCATCATCATGATGAACACATTTAACATTGAAAAAAAGAAAAAAAAAAAAAAAACAAATCACATCCAATTAAATTATTTCTAGGTATGAATATTGTTACATTGGCCCAGCATGGACAAAATGTAACTATTATTATACAGAACTTCTCTAGCGTCAACAGTTTGCACAGCAGAAAGGGAGACAGTACAGATACAATACAATCAAAACAAGAGGATTAGGAGGGCCCTACTCATAAGAGCTTACAATCTAATAGGGTGGGGCAAAGTGGTACAAAAGGTTAAAACTGTGATGAGCTGATGGAAGTGATGTCTATTCGGAGGCATGATAGGCTTCCCTGAAGAGTTTTCAGGGATCAGCTAAAGGAGGCAGAGTAGGGGGATAACCGGACTGCTTGAGGTAGAGAGTTCCAGAGGATAGGAAAGGCTCTAGTAAAATCCTGGAGCCAAGCATGGGAAAAAACAAGGGAGCTTGAGACGACAATTTGTGTGATATTTGGAGACAAGATTGGTGATGTAATTTGGGGCAGAGTTGTGAAAAGCTTTGTATGTTGTTAGTATTTTGAATTTAATGCGCTGGGCAATCGGTAGCCAGTGGAGGGATTAGCAGAGAGGGGTGGCAGACACTGAGCAGTTGGTAATGTAGATGATCCTGGCAGCAGCATTCATGATGGACTGAAGATACCCTACAGCATGGTAGGCCTCTGAGAAAGGAGTTGCAGTAGTCAAGGCGAGAGATCACAAGGGAGTGAATGAGTAGTTTGGGGGTTTTACTGGTTAAAAAGGGGGCAAATTTTAGAGATGTTATGGAGGGGAAGTCTACAAGCTTTTGACAGCAGCTGGATTTGGGGCCAAAAGGATAGGTCAGAGTTCAGGATTACACCTAGTACCTTGGTCTGAGAGAAGGGACTGATAGTTGTATTAGTAATCTTGATGGAAAAGTCATGTAGGAGTGCATGAGGGGGAGGGGAAACTATGCATATATCATTTATAGAAGCCCCCTAGAAGCTGGAAATCATTTATTGCAGACACCACTACTAAAGTGTTCTCCACCAGCTTCCAGGGTCCTATGCTGAGCAGTGACCTGCTGCAACCTGAACACAGGTGGTCCCCTGTTCTGCATGGGTGCCATTCGGAGAATTCTTTGCATTTTCTCAAAGAATGTAAAATATTCTCTGACTGGATGTGCGGGAGAGTGTGACATCACCATCCCACCTCATCCAACAAGAGAACATTTTGCATCACAATTAACCCTACATGAATACGTGACATCAGAGGAATGAAGTTTTTCTATCAAACATATGCAAAGTGCAGCAACATATGTCTGGCTGGTTAATCTGGGCTGCCATACTTTAAATGGTCATTGTGAACAAGTCAAAAAAAAAACCAACTGTTTGCTTCAGGAGTAGACAGTTCATCCCTCAGTTACATGACAGCCAAGGCCAACTGGTATCCAAAGCAGTGTTCACTAATAAATGATCTTGTATCAAGCTGGCAGAAAAAGGCAATGATGGGAAAACAGCAGAGAAGTGACCATATGTTCGCTATTGCTACATTCAAACTGCAAGTGCATTGTGGGTGCGTCCAGCGGGAGGCCCTGAACCACATCTGACACCAGCACATATAATCTTCAGCCGAGACGTCCGGTAAGGGTTTATCACAGCCGATTCATCCACTGATGGACCGTCAGGAAAGGTTCAGGAAAAGTTTAATACATTTGTATTCTTTAAGCTCGATCCGCTCTCCCGTCGACTTTGTCTGCACAAGGAGAGAAGACAATTAATGGTTTATATTGTTATGCCAGGAAATAAAACTATTTATAGTCTGCTGCATCGCACCACATCTTACAAGTCCGGAATAAGTAGACAAATGGCACGGGAGAGGATGTGATCGACTTCTGCAACCAATCACAGCTCGTGTATTTATATCTCATGGCAATATACTTATATAATAACTTCCTGAACTGCACTCACCATCGGAAACATCAATTTAAGAAAAGTTCAAATTATTAATGTAGTCTAATGCAGGCCATAGACGGGTCGACAACCAGCCATTTAAAAAAAATAAAAAATAAAAAAAAAATAGGCCGTTACCACCAACGGTAAAAAAAATCCGCCATTATATATGACATGAAAAAGTCTTGCGGTTGTAACAATGTATCTATTTGTATCCGAATAAAACCATCTGTATCCAAAATGGATACAAATAGATACATTGTTGCAACCGCAATACTTTTTCATGTCAAATATAATGGCGGACTGGAATTTTTCTCTTCTTCTAGCAGGTCACGGCTCATGCGCAGATTTTTTATCAGTAAACAGATCGTCCGATTTGATCATCATTGCCAGAAAAAAAAAAAAAAAAGCCAATTTTTTTTCCAACTTCACCGATTTAAAAAAAAAAAAAAAAAAAAAAAAAAAGAAGGGCGGAAAAGAAGGAGGGTTACCCTGCCAGTATGCAGAGGGAGGGGAACGGGGTCCCAAAATGCTTCCAGTGGCTCCAATGTGACAGAGAAACAGACACCACTCTAGCCAGCCCAATGAGTCAGGTGTATGAGATGGCCTCAGCCTCTGCTCTGGCCATGCCCTCTGGCCCATTTCACCCTTTCCACCATGATCAATCCTTCCAGTGTGTGCAGAAGCTGAGGCCTTCTCACTCAGACACGGCTCTAACCAGCCCAAGGCCTTCTCAAACATCTGACGCAGACACTGGAAGGATTGATCATGGTGGGAAGGGTGAAATGGGTCAGAAGGCATGGCTGGAGCAGCAGCTGAGGCAATCTCATACACCTGACTCATTGGGCTGGTTAGAGCCGTGTCTGTTTCTCTGCCTGCTCATTGCCCGTTTTAACCCTCTAAATGCCAAACTACCATGCCACAACTGTGTGTCAGTGTGGTCGTATTCACATGTTGGGCAGGCAGAAGTGCCCACCAAGCATGACAGAGGGTAGAAGTCCTGCCTAGGCTGAGAAGCAAGGCGTTGCAGCACATGTACACCCCCCATCTAAAGGGAGAGCAGTTGAGGGGGTGGTAAAAGTGTGACTGGATCAGAGTTTTATCAACCACCCCTCCTCCCACCGCAAGTGTAAAACAAGCCCTTAGAGAAATTTATTAATTCTTTGGCTTCCATCCAACTCATTGGCCCATAATCCATCAGCTCAGAAAATCGGGGAGCATTATCTGCCTACGTGTAGAAACTCCCATGGACACCTAGGAAGCGGACAACTAATCCTGACCACAGCACTAAGGCTGGCCATACATTATACAATTTTCTTGAGATTTTTGGCTTAGATTTATCAAAAACCATATAATATGAGGTCAAACCCAAACAACACTTTCAGTTGTATCCAGTTAGGTAGGCCCTTGCACTACACAGTTTAAGGTAAATCTAAAGGAAAATTGGGCAGAAATTGTATATAGTGTATGGCCAGCCTAAGGGAGGAAGAGTACAGGACCTGAGCTCTATGGCTGAAGACTCTGGATGAGAAGCACAGAGGTCATTGTAAACTCAAATCACCTAACCTCAGTCTTAAAATGTGTAGGTAGCCAAAAACGTAGCCGCCATCACATTCATCTGACTTTTTTCCCCAGAATCTCTGACCCAGAACAAGCAAGCAGCAAGGGATGTTCCAATCTACATACGTTTACTAAGCCAGTGATTCGAATTGTACCAATAAAAACAGAAAAATTGGAGGTGGAGAAGAGCAGACGAGTCTGCCGCCAAATGGCAGTTACACCTGTTTTGGGTGAAGGAACAGAAGAGCTCCGAGCTTCACCTGCCCTCAGCACATCCCAAAACAGGTCTGCACACGCGGCAGCAATCAGAATTTACCATTTTGTTCGCAGGGTCACTTTAAATGCAACATGTTCATGTTCGATGGGATTGTGCTTTCAACTCTGATGACCAGAGGCCATGGATGTCCAGGCTAAACTTAGTGTCAGTTCACTGGACTACAACCTCCTGTCACCTCCTGCAGGGCATTAATCCACAGATTGGGGGTGGGAACGGGTTAATCTGTCTTTAAAGCCAAGATTACTGGTGGCTCTATAACACTTCTCACAATGAGGTCGAAGGCTACATAAAAATCACAGCAAATCTTGGATGTGATAAATAAATAACAATGGGTTTAAGTGACACCGAGAATAAATGCTGATCTGCTACATATTTCTACCAGAACAGAGTCCAGTAGTGAAGGACTCTGCTCATCGCAGTATAAATCGGGTTACTCATCAACCATACAGATGTGACAACTGCAGGGTGAGCAGGTTCATCATACACAGTATGAACATCAGGAGGTTAGTCTGCCTGGCCGGCCAAAGGATATTTTTGCAATCACAATAAAGCTGCAGCACTGGAGTCCTGGGTTTGATTTCTTCTAAAAACCATTCTCTGCATGGAGTTTGTCTGCTCCTCATGTGTCTAGGGTTTTTTTTCTAGTGGCTCTGTACACCTCTAGGTAAAAGCCTATTTCCATTCAGAACATTTGCTTTTAGATTAGGTTAGAACTTGTCTGTGGTCACCAAGACAGGAAGTGGATGGAAATCTCCCAAAAAAAAAAAAAAAAAAAAAAAAAAAGGGGAGGTTCAAAAAAATGTTCATCACAAGAATAGTATTGGTTGGAGTGTTAACCATTTCAGATACATATTTAAGCACAGCTATTGCCCAATTAAAGACGCCTGTATGTTCCCCCACCTTTTGTCTTAGGGCTCATTTACACTGGCTTCAACCTCAACACTTATTAAAATGCCTACCGCTTCAAAATGCTTTTTGATGCTTCGGCGATGCTTTTTTGAAGCTTTAATGAAACTTAGCAAGTGCCCTGTGTGTGTTGATTTTATATTTGTTTAAAAAGGAGCCCAGTAGAACACCAGCTTAGTAGTACCCCTGTTCAGCAGATTGCAGTATTCGCAGCTCCCCCCCGCTCAGCAGTAACCCCCCCAGCTCTGCCGATCCCCCGGCTCAGCCAATCCCCCCCAGCTCAGCAGTAACCCCCAGCTCAGCCGATCCCCCCCCCCCCGCTCAGCAGTAATCCCCAGCTCTGCCGATCCCCCCTGCTCAGCAGTAACCCCCAGCTCTGGTGATCTTTTGGTTTGCTGATCCTCCCCTCTGGTCCCCGCTCACCTCCCACACAACACACCACATATGACATTGCCAATTTCTTTTGCTCCGTGCCCCAGCTCTCTTTCCGGTTCCCACTCACCTTCTGCTATAGCATTCCCATGTTGCACACCATGTGCCATCTGCTAGTTGCTCCCCTCCAGTCCAGACCCCGCTCACCTTCCTGCTGCTCCTCACACACCAGATGTGACGTCTGCACCAGACGCTCCCAGAATATATACACATGAACGGTGATCGCTTGTTGATTTCCCAGTGCATCCTGGGATCTCTCATACTTGAAGTAACTCCAAAACAAAGTGAAGCCAAAGCCGAATAAAAGCCTCTCAAAAGCTGCAGGTGCTACTAGCGAGCTTTGTCATAGACTTCTATGGAGGCTTTGGAGAAGCTTTAAAGCGCCAAGAAATCAACATGATCCCCTATTACCCGGGGGCCCCATGAGTTGACAGTCAGCTCCTGTTTCACAGTAAGCTGTGTGTGTGCGCTGCAGTGTGCACAAACTGACAGGGAGAACTATATTGTTTACATACAGTTCTCCTCCCCGGAGATGCTCGGCAATCACTGGCTGGGACCCGGTGATTGACAGCCGCGGTCGCAATTTGCAGCCCGGATCGAGCACGCGTGTGCCCCCTACCCAGCCACACAATCTGCTATGGGGAGGTCAGGAAGCGGTTAATAGCAAAAAATCATAAATATTGTTTTTTCCCCTCAAAATGATCAGTCTTTGTTTATAGCAAAAAAAAAAAAAAAAAACCGCACAGGTGCTCAAATTCGTGGGGAAAAAAAAAAAAGACGTAAATTTAATTTGGGTGCAGCGTTGCATGACCGCGCAATTGTCAGTTTAATTAACCTAGCACCGTAATGCACAAAATGGCCTGATCGGGAAGGGGGTAAATCCTCTGCGGGGCAAGTGGTTACGGATGCTTCGATAGTTACCTTTAGGGATGAACTTAATCGAGTTGCTGAATATTCAAAAGCGGGAAAGGCCCTTCTTTGGCCCATCATTTAAAAACTCGTGACCCAGTCCATTGCCACACTTCCCGCAGGAGACCTGGAGGAGCAAAGAACATGAATTAGTGTGCAGAAACCCCAAAGATGTTAATGAGACAGTGAGGAATATATTAAAAAAAGAAAAAAAAAAAAAATCCCATCCTGGCCCAGCTGAAGCTCCAGTGCTGAAGGCTACCATGGTTTTAACTCCCACAGCCTCCACCTCACTGTACGGAATGCTGTAGCTTTGACCCCATAGTGGCCTTCAGTCATATTCGGACAGGTTCCCATTAGGCATTGAATCTTGAGGAAGGTCTACAGTTCCTAACCCTGTTCACACAGGCTTCAGCTTGTTAATTCTATACAAGCATCTGTAAAGCTTTCAGCAAGCTTCACGCAGCTTTTTTTGAAGCCGTTAAGCAATCACAGCTAAAGACTTTAATGGGAGTCTTACCTATCCCCTTTAAATGAGCTGTTAGCAGTTTTTAGCAAACTTTTTAAGCTGCTAAGAGCTGGTTTATAGTAATAGGCAGCACTCACTTTCAGACCAGTGTTCACAACTCCCAGGCTGGAGTGGAGGGGGCTTTAAAATAAACCTGTAATGAGGGAAAATAGGCAGCTGCTATTGTAGACCCTGTCCTTTCTAAAATGCCATCTTCCTGCTTAGGGTTAGCAAGAAGTAAATTATCTTTAAAATACACCCCACTGACCTCTGTATCTGCAGGCACTGTGGAGCAAGTCATCCTTAAAGTTAAAGCAGAAGCAGTGGAGTCTTTGTAAGTCCCTCTATCGGTAGCTCCTGTTCTCAGAAGTAATAAAAGCAGCTAAAAGCTTCCCCTCCTCTTTCCTCCCAGCAGTGACTTGGCACCCCAGGTCCCTGTACTCGCCCCTACCGACTACTACTGACTCCGCAGCTAAGCTTCCCCTGTACCCATAATCAGCAGCTCAGCTCTCCTTTATCCACTCCCAGCCATGACTCAGCAGCCAAGCTCCCTGTTCGCCCCTCCAAGCACTGCAGCCCCCCACCCTGCTCTCCCTACCAACATTGCCTCAGCAGCTCAGCTCTCCTTTACCCCCATTCCCAGCACTGCCTCAGCAGCTCAGCTCTCCTTTACCCCCATTCCCAGCACTGCCTCAGCAGCTCAGCTCTCCTTTACCCCCATTCCCAGCACTGCCTCAGCAGCTCAGCTCTCCTTTACCCCCATTCCCAGCACTGCCTCAGCAGCTCAGCTCTCCTTTACCCCCATTCCCAGCACTGCCTCAGCAGCTCAGCTCTCCTTTATCCCCATTCCCAGCACTGCCTCAGCTCTCCTTTATCCTCATTCCCAGCACTGACTCAGCAGCTCAGCTCACCTCAACCTCCCTCCTCCTAGCAGCTCAGCTCCCTCTCCTAGCTACATATTCATAAAGGATTATAATACCACCTCTTTCCCATAAACCAGTGTGAGCCAGACATATTCTGCTATTACAGCATATCAAGTTTGCTAAAGTGACCACTTAAGCAACAATATTAAATTTAATTTGGAGGGCCACTTAGCACTCCTCCAGTACTATCACTGCTCGATCAGAAGGGACCTTTGCATCCCTATATGGATTATAGTCATATGGGGCAGCACAGTGGCTCAATATTTACCACTTCCATCTGGCAGTACTTGGGTCGTTGGTTCGAATCCCGACCCACAGCACCACCTGCCTGGAGTGTGCATATTCTCCCTGTGACTGCATGGGTTTCCTCCGGGTACTCCGGTTTCCTCCCACACTCCAAAGACATGCTGGTAGGTTAATTGGCTCCTGTCTAAATTGTCCCTAGTATGTGTATGTATGGATGTGAGTTAGGGACCTTAGATTGTACACCCCTTGAGGGTTAGGGACTGATGTGAATGTACAATATATATGTAAAGCGCTGCGTAAATTGACGCCACTATATAAGTACATTTACAATCTTTTGCAGACAATACCCTGTCACATTGTTTATGGAATCCACCTTATATTCTCACCTTAAGAGCATTGGGCCGTTCCACATGTTTGGAGACGCTGTCCTCATGGATGGTCTCTGTGAAGGCGGGCCACGGGGACGAGTGCTCAAACTTGGTGCGGCTGGAGAAGAGTTCGTAGCCACATTTGGCACACACATAAATTCCTGATCATAAAGAATGGAGACACAGAAAGTATTAGAAATCATTAATAGAGATCTCCATAATAAGTTTGTTTCACACAGTATAGCAAGCAGCCCTTGTATAGCCACTGCAGCTCCAGGCCATTTCTGTCACTTTTGTTTACAAGTGTAAATCATTTTTTACTAGAAAATTACCTAGAACCCCCAAACATTTTTTGGCAGAGATCCTAGAGAATAAAATAGTGATCGTTGCAACATTTCATGTCACATGGTATTTGCACAGCGGTTTTTCAAATGAAATTTTTTTTTTGGGGGGGGGGGGGGGTTGTGGCGAACCACACACACCCCACAAAAGATAGCCCTTTTTTTTTTGCAAAATATAGAAGATAAGCCAAATAAATTGATACCAAACATGTCACCCTTTACATTTGCGCACGCTCCTGGAATGGTGGCAAAACTATGATACTTAAAAATCTCCATAAGTGACACTTTAATAATTTTTACAGGTTACTGTTCAGAGTTACAAAGGAGGTCTAGCACTAGAATTATAGCTCTCGCTCTGATGTTCACTTTGATACCTCACGTGTGGTTGGAACGCCGTTTACATATGTGGGTGGGGCCTACCTATGCATTCACTTCTATACGCGAGCACGGAGGGAAGGGGGGGGGCTTTAACTTTTATTTATTTTTTTCACTGTCCCGGAAGCACCACATAGAAAAAAGAGAGAATAGAGTAGCACTGGCAGCTCAGCATCCACAGAGGTAAGTACCCAGGACTAAGGGGGTGGGGAGGGTACTTTTTTCCTGATGAGGTGAACTAGCCCTTTAAGATGAAGGGCTAGGAAAGGATAGGCAATGAAGTGACCCTGCTGATTTGCACCATTCCATGTAGTCGGTATTGCATGAGTCTGTAAACTTCCCTTTACAAATATCACCGGATACCGCCCTGCACAGGCCATGTTGTGACACCGATATTGCAAACTAACCAAAATCCCAGAACACCTTCCAGGAATTGACGTCTGTACTGCTTCTACTTAGTACATTGTTAATAGGTAACCACAGTTATTGGGGTCATTATTAATTTTTAGCCTGAGCAAGCATTAATGTATAATGATCAGGCGCACTTTTATTTTTTTAAATATCCTCAGCAGATTAAAAAATGTACAAGCCTTTTATGTGCAATTGATAGCCCCTGTGTGGGCATGATTTGTTGCTCCTGTGTTAAACTGTTACAAAAAATGTACAAGCCAATCAAGAAAGTCAACAAATCAAATGTTTCTCCTGTTTCCCCTTTCTACTGCTGTGAATATTAAAGGGTTACTAAACCCAGGACCCTGCATTCACTATATCCGGTCTCCCCGGACCCCCGCATTCACTATATCCGGTCTCCCCGGACCCCCCACATTCACTATATCCGGTCTCCCCGGACCCCCCGCATTCACTATATCCAGTCTCCCCGGACCCCCCGCATTCACTATATCCAGTCTCCCCACATTCACTATATCCAGTCTCCCCAGACCCCCGCATTCACTATATCCAGTCTCCCCGGACCCCCCGCATTCACTATATCCAGTCTCCCCACATTCACTATATCCAGTCTCCCCAGACCCCCCGCATTCACTATATCCGGTCTCCCCGGACCCCCCGCATTCACTATATCCGGTCTCCCCGCATTCACTATGTCCGGTCTCCCCGGACCCGCCACATTCACTATATCCGGTCTCCCCGCATTCACTATGTCCGGTCTCCCCGGACCCGCCACATTCACTATGTCCGGTCTCCCCGGACCCGCCACATTCACTATATCCGGTCTCCCCGGACCCCCCACATTCACTATATCCGGTCTCCCCGGACCCCCCCACATTCACTATATCCGGTCTCCCCGGACCCCCCACATTCACTATATCCGGTCTCCCCGGACCCCCCGCATTCACTATATCCGGTCTCCCCGGACCCCCCGCATTCACTATATCCAGTCTCCCCGGACCCCCCGCATTCACTATATCCAGTCTCCCCACATTCACTATATCCAGTCTCCCCAGACCCCCGCATTCACTATATCCAGTCTCCCCGGACCCCCCGCATTCACTATATCCAGTCTCCCCACATTCACTATATCCAGTCTCCCCAGACCCCCCGCATTCACTATATCCGGTCTCCCGGACCCCCCGCATTCACTATATCCGGTCTCCCCGCATTCACTATGTCCGGTCTCCCCGGACCCGCCACATTCACTATATCCGGTCTCTCCCGGACCCGCCACATTCACTATATCCGGTCTCCCCGGACCCCCCCACATTCACTATATCCGGTCTCCCCGGACCCCCCACATTCACTATATCCGGTCTCCCCGGACCCGCCACATTCACTATATCCGGTCTCCCCGGACCCCCCACATTCACTATATCCGGTCTCCCCGGACCCCCCACATTCACTATATCCGGTCTCCCCGGACCCCCCACATTCACTATATCCGGTCTCCCCGGACCCCCCACATTCACTATATCCGGTCTCCCCGGACCCCCCACATTCACTATATCCGGTCTCCCCGGACCCCCCACATTCACTATATCCGGTCTCCCCGGACCCCCCACATTCACTATATCCAGTCTCCCCACATTCACTATATCCAGTCTCCCCAGACCCCCCGCATTCATTATATCTAGTCCCCCCCGGACCCCCCCGCATTCACTATATCAGGTCTCCCACAGTACACAAAAATGCAATTATTGTAGTAAATATAAACTGCTAAATACATTTTCTCATCAGCAGTATATAGGAGTCTTGTGACTTCTATCAGTGTCCAGCAGAGCACTGATTAAAGCTTGTAGAGGCGTTCTCTAGGAGGATGCAGAACCCCTGACCTCTGTCTGGACAGTGCTGATCACATGCACCCTTCCCAAGCAAGAAAAACAAAAAACCTCTCTAGCAATACACACCAAATTGAGCATGTGCAGTGTGTCTCCACACTATATGCTTTATCAGGAGATAAGAGGGAGACACTGGAAGAAGGGGAGGATCAGAGAAGATCAAACCGTGTTTACACAAAGCAGAGCATTAACCCCTTAGGTTCCACAGTGAGTATAGTAAGCGTGCTTTGCTGCATATACAGACTGATTTTACCATTGTGGGTTTAGTAACACTTTATTGGTTCAAATTTCTTTCTACAAGCAGACAGAGTCATCTGCAGACCCGGGACTCAGAACACACAGAATTATATCACAGGATGCATTTCTTTAGATGTGAGGGCTCTATATACTAACAGGTATGGGCAAGAAGCTTCCAAGGCTGGACAACTTTCCAGTCTGTCCTCTAGGATCAGCACATTCCTTGTATACGTTTCCCGGCATGTGCCCCATGGAAATTAGGAATATATGGCTGCTAGTATTGAGTGAGTTAGGTAAGCTGAGCAACACGACTTTTTCTTACCCACAGCGGTGATCCTGCCAGCAATATGGTCACCAGGGTTCGGGACATGGGGTGGGCAGGAGGGGCAGCTGCCCTGGGCACAGCAGAACAAGGGGGCAGGGAATAGACAGGACAGTAAGCCCATCCTATGGCATGCATTAACAGTTCACATCCCTGCCCTGGGCAATAGATGAACCTGTCCCTGTACTGATGGTCACCCACATGACATGGCCCTCCTCCTGGAGGAAATCCTGCATGGATGGTGGGAACCCCTCATAACAGACACACCAGGGATCTGGATCTCACCAGCATAGCCCCTAAGAGACAGAAGAGACTATCACGGGGAATAAACTGAAGTTTAATCTGCTTAGAATTTGCTTTCCCTGGTTCCTCTCCTCATCTTTCTCTGCAAACAAGTTAATTCATTTTTAAATAAAATCTGTTTTCATTACGCATCTCATTTTAGACCCAGCAATGTCAATATGGGCACTGTGCTTCTCTATGCAATGCATGCAGATCATGGCTGCTTAGAATGGGCAGCAGGGTGCTGTACATGGCTTCCTGAAAACAGGAAGCAGAGCTGTGTGGTAATGCCCACAAGTGATGTTGAACCTCCAGGACTAAAACAAGAAATCCAACGAATGAAAGAGGTGAGCCAGGCACAGTCAGGCTTTGCAGGAAAGGACTAGATGGTGCCGGGTGTCCTTCACTCAAGAAATGAGGTATTGGTGTCAATAGGGGGAATAGTGCCCCATCGTTGGTGCCAATGGGGGGGGGGGGGGGGAATAGTGCCCCATCGTTGGTGCCAATGGGGGGGGGGGGGGAATAGTGCCCCATCGTTGGTGCCAATGACCTCATCGTTGGGGGGGGGGGGGGGGGGAATAGTGCCCCATCGTTGGTGCCAATGGGGGGGGGGGGGGGGGAATAGTGCCCCATCGTTGGTGCCAATGGGGGGGGGGGGGGGGGGAAATAGTGCCCCATCGTTGGTGCCAATGGGGGGGGGGGGAATAGTGCCCCATCGTTGGTGCCAATGGGGGGGGGGGGGGGGGAATAGTGCCCCATCGTTGGTGCCAATGGGGGGGGGGGGGGAATAGTGCCCCATCGTTGGTGCCAATGGGGGGGGGGGGGAAATAGTGCCCCATCGTTGGTGCCAATGGGGGGGGGGGGGGGGAATAGTGCCCCATCGTTGGTGCCAATGGGTGGGGGGGGGGGGGGGAATAATAGTGCCCCATCGTTGGTGCCAATGGGGGGGTGGGGGGGGAATAATAGTGCCCCATCGTTGGTGCCAATGGGGGGGGGGGGGGAGGAATAATAGTGCCCCATCGTTGGTGCCAATGGGGGGGGGGGGGAATAATAGAGTGCCCCATCGTTGGTGTCAATTGGGGGGGGGGGGGAAATAATAGTGCCCCATCGTTGGTGTCAATTCGTTGGTGGGGGGGGGGGGGAATAATAGTGCCCCATCGTTGGTGTCAATTGGGGGGGGGGGGAATAATAGTGCCCCATCGTTGGTGTCAATTTTGGGGGGGGGGAATAATAGTGCCCCATCGTTGGTGTCAATGGGGGGAGGGGGAGGGAGAATAGTGCCCAATCGTTGGTGTCAATGGGGAGGG